TGCAAGCATCACTTCTTCTAATACCATTTCTTCACCTGTTTTTGTTATAAAGTATTGAGAATTAGATCTTGTTGCCATATAAAGACCCCATATGTGTATGCAATAGTGTCACTACTAAGTGCATAACTAAGTTTCTGTGTTTCAGGGATAATACTAAAACATATAGCAACGCAAATATATATTATTTTTTAACAAACAAGATGTTAAATAAATAGCATTTGGAGAAGCTTTGTGTTTCTACTTTAACTTGAAAAAAAAGCAAACACAGCTGCGGCACTTTGTTTGCTTAGGCAGGTCTATGACGAACATGCAGCATTAAAAGTTACCCGTAAGGAGTGACGATTTCAACACTGAGAATTAGGAGCTTTCCAAAAGACTAAAAACATTTGAGTTAACCGAGCTGCGAACGTTATTACGTGCGGTTGATAAGATCAATCTGCGGTGTTGTTAATTCGCAAAGTGTTTTTTGCGTTTTTGCAATTATTTAGACATCATGGATAAAATCAAAGCGATGGAAAACGCGTCGCGAAAATTGACCGAGAACCAGATAAGAAAACGAAGTCCCGCTTTCGAATCTAGGCTGCTGACGATAAGAAAGGAGTACATTTCGTAGGTTCCCAACGAAAAAAATAATGACCTTCACCCAGCGCTTCAGCAAGATTGACGGTAGGACCTACTGACATTAGAAAGAATACACGAGTCTAGGCTTGTTAGAATACGGAGTCGATTTAAGTATTTCCAAATGTCCGCTCATGTAAATATTCCCTTGATCGCAAAAATGTAAATATTTATTATGGACATTGGAAATTATTGCACGCAAATTGCTATTGCAGCTGGACCAAATCGCTCAAGAACGCGCCCAAGATACAACGTAAGATTCCCCATGTGGTTTTACGTAGGTACACTGATTGGGGCAAATACAACGTAGGTTGGGAACATTTCCGTTTTCAAAAGAAAAATTAAAAATTCTGCTTATTTTGTTTATAAAGATTCGTGCACAACTGCATATAATTTCGTTACTTGTTTGTATTTTCTTTGAATTCATGTTCCATTGATCAAAGAAACTTAAAAATTGATTTGGGAACCTAATACAGCCTCATAAAACTTGGATCTACTCCGATTGTTCCATCTGCGTAAGCTTAGAGTAAAGAATTACATAAAGAACTGTGCCGAATACCTGCGCTATACTATCTGCATATCAATCCAATAGATCTTCGCTCCGTCGGGCCAATAGAACCCAAGTCGAGTATAAGGTCCTGCTTCTTCATGTATACAATTACATATAACTATATATATATATTAAAAAAAATTGTATAAATATATGATTGGAAATATATACGATATACATATTTACGATACGATATGAAGTTATATCGAGTGATTAGAGTTTAGCACTTTTGCAGTTGACTATTGCATCCATGATAGAGTTTCGGCATAAGTTAAATGCATTTCTTTATCCTTCGCCATCGAAGTAGATCTAAATTGATCTGACTTTTCTATAACTTTTAGTTAAGAGCTTAAATTAAGTTCTTGTCATTATGTGCATAATTTGATTAAATTAAGCAAATATCTTTAGAGTGCTTTTTCTAGTCGAATAGATTTCAAAAAATGTCTTTTTATATAATATCGACAACATATTTAGAGAGATTTCCTATTTACTCTCTCAAGCCTTCTTTTCCATTTAGCTTTAATCCTTATTAAATTCCATTAAAGTAAAGCATTTTAACTACACAAAATCGGTACGAGTTATTTATCAAAAAAAAAACATTTTTAAAACGTTTTTCTGATCGCAAATACTACTCTACTCTAGAGAATATATATTTAAGTATTTTTCTTTATGAAAGAAAATTTGGCAAAAAAAGACAAAAATATTATGAAGTTGTGTATGTACGTACGTTGGCGCAATTTCCTTTGCTAGCAAAAATTTTATATATGACATTAGGAAATATTTACTTTATTTTTACACGAGAATGCACGCAGGCTCACAAGTGCACCTACACACGCCGTCTAAATAAATTTCTACAGGAAAACTAAGTTTTCTTCTAAACTACTTTGTAAGAGAATCAAAGGATGAAAAATATAAAAGAAAACCTATAGGTAGCTGTAGCTAAATGTAAAGAGATTTTCTATATTTGTATGTCTGGCTGTCTGTCGATACTGCTGTTATACTTACATCACATACAAGCACGTTGTCTGCATTCATTGTATTGCATTTCGTTCAGTATTTGGGAATATGTTTTATGGCTCAATTGTCTTCTTGTATGCCTTGTATGTGTTTGAATCTAGCTATATGCAACTTTATGTATATATATTGTATCGATATTGTAGCCGTTGTTTATAATTCTTTTTCTGTCGAGAGAAGATTATCAAATACTTTATGCTACAGGTTTGTCTTGCATTCAATATAAATGTACGTGTTTATATGTATGCATCGTGTACGTACAATGCCTTTAAATCTTTTTTGACAATGGGAAAACTTTCTGTTCCGCTATGTAAATGTTATTTTCAAATAACTTTCTCTTAAATCCTTTTTTTTTTTTTTTTTTTTGTTGCTGTTACGAAAATTTAATAAATATATTTTTCCTTTCTTGAGAAAGGTAAAACGTTTTTTATTCCCCCAATTTGAGTTCGTATAAATATCAATTAAATTTAATTAAAAGCAAAATTTACTTAATAGTTTTGATAATAGTATACCTATTACGAAAAAAGGGAAGTTCAGCAACTATGTTATTCGATTTGTAACGTCTAAAGTCAAAAACACAAATGTCCTATAAGGGACATC